ATCAAAAATGGTGAGGATAACCCTAGATTCTATGAAGGTAATTTATAAGTCCAGGGAGTAGCAACTTCCAAACATTGTCTACATCAGAGGTTTAGCATCACAAATCTGAGTTTTATCTACAAGCATGCAGTAGGGAAAGTATGAAGAAAAAAAGCTGGGGCAAGCTTTCATTCCTGACCCTCCATAATTGCACAAAGAGTACAAGATTAAAATTGTGAATAAATGGATGTTTGCACCAATTGAAAGATAAAGGTTTTAAATTATGAGTGACTGCCTAAAGCTGTTACTTCTTTCCTTATGGGTAAGGACCTCCCTTTTTTGAATTGCCCTCTAACCTTGAAATTCTGTTATTCACAGAAATACAGTGGGGGCTGATGTGGGGTTTAAAAGAATGAGTATACAGATGGGAGGCATGAGAGGAGCAGCTGAGATCTAGAGCAGCCACCAAAGGATATTCTCAACAGCGCTGAGTTTGGAAACAACAGCCAATGTTTACTGAATGATTCTGGTGCTAAGGACTTCATATGTGTTTTTCTTTACAATATCCTGAGCTAGGTTCTCTTATGTAAAAGGGGAAGCTGAGGCCTGGAGGGGTCACGCAGCTGGAACATGGAGTAGGGGACATTGGAGCCAGTCAGCTGCCCTCTGGAGCCCATGCTTTATCACTTGCTCATGAAACTTACTCAGCTCAACGTTGGCATGATTCGCCCCGAATGGGGTGTGGTGGCTTCTTTAGAAGTACTGAGGTGATGACTGATCGGGAAGCTTCAGAGATCCTCTTGCTGTCAAGAAGTTAGAGACATCGTAGGGATGCTGTAGTTGGAGGTTGGCTGACTATTCAAAGAAGACCCTAAAGTGAAATTATACAGCCTGAGCCTCTCTAATGGGGCTCCTGTTTCTAAACTGCAGGAACCAAACTCACAAGAAACTAATGTATAGAATGTCAACTTACTAATTTGCAATGTTAAGATATACCCCTTCCAGTGAGTGACCAGATGTTTACTGGTTAGAGAACTCTCTTCTAAGAATCAGTGTTCATGGGAACCTCCTTAGTCATCATAACTTCATTTGTTGAACTCAAATGAAAATAAAGGGAAAGGATGTGCTGATGTCTGGAATCCTAGGAGTATAGCTAGAAGTACAAAAGCACAGAGGCAGTCCAGGACCAACTAATTGAGAAACAAGCACTTTAACAGAAGTGCTATAACTGAAGATGACAGTCATACAGCACAGAACAATGATGAATATTTATAAAGCTGATCCTCTCACTTATATGTGGAAACTAAAAAAAAATTGAATATACAGAGATAGAGAATAAAAACAGTGGTTACCATGGGTGGGGGATGGGGGAGGGAGAATATGGGAGATACAAGAGTCAAAGGACACAAAGTGGCAGATACAGGACCAACAAGTCTAGAGATCTAATATACAAACATGAGGACTACAGTTGATAATATTGTATTGTTTTTGGGATTTTCACTAAAACAGATTTTAGGTGTTCTTGACACATACCCAAAAAAAGGGTAACTGTGGAAGATGGATGTATTGATTTATTTGAATATAATAACCTTTCAGTACACGTATGGACATAAAATATCATGTTGTACACCTTAAATATATACAATAAAAATGATGATCCTCTTATCAAAGTATCAGTATACTTTGAGAAGGCAAGACTGTATCTCAACTGTTTCTGAAAGATGTACAACAGAAACTGCTTAAGTTTCACAAAAGTGCTTTCTCTTGAGACGCATGGTAAATGACAGAATCTTGTACTAAGAAGTATATCACTGACTATAAGCTGTCAGTACAATGGATCTATTGTCAGCAATCCAGGGCCACTGCTGCTAAAACGAAGCAATGATTAGGACAGATTATCATATGAGTGAAGGACACTGAGTAAGAGATCCTTGAGAACCTAAAATACATGAAGACAGATGTCTATAGAAAATATTTCTAAGAGATATAAAATTGTCAGTCAAAAGGGTATGTATTGGCTGGGCACAGTGGCTCATGCCTGTAATCCTAGTAAGAGGCCAACGTAGGAGGATCGTTTGAGGCTAGGAGTCCGAGACCAGCCTGGGCAACATATCGAGACCTCATCTCCACAAAAATTAAAAAATTAGCTGGGTGTGGTGGTGTGTTCCTATAGCTCCAGCTACTTAGGAGGCTGAAGCA